GAGGCAGGCGGACTTTTGTTGTTTTTTTTTTTTGATGTATTACATGTATATTCAAGCCAAGGGCTTAATGTGTAAATGAGTTAGCACTCTTTTGTTGTAACCAAGTGTTAACTTGGAAAGCTGTAAGCCTTTAGGGCATTTGCTTTTGTCGTTAACATGTAATACTTTTTGTAATGAAACTCTGATGAATAGAAGAATGTGGAACTTTTATATATATATATCAATGTATGTCTATATTGATGGGTTTAAATGTTATCTTTTGAGGGAGTTACATTACTCACATGCACACAGCATTTTCTATGGAAGAATTGGGTCTCATCAACTATTTCTTGGGTTTCTCCGTTACTCCCTTTGCCTCCGACTATTTTCTTTCTCAAACAAAGTATGCTTTGGAAATTCTTTCTAAAACTGGGATGTTTGATTGCAAGCCAACTCCTTCTCCCATGTTAGTCAAGCCTTCTTCAATATCTTCTCCTACTGTGGCTTATTCTAATTCTTCCCTCTATCACAATATTATTGGTGCTCTCCAATATTTGACCATTACTGGACCATATATCTCCTTTGTTGTTAATCATGCCTGCCAAACTATGCATTCACCTTTTGAGACTAATTTTGCTTCTGTCAATCACTTGATGCGATATCTCAAAGGTACCATTCATCAAGGACTGTCATTTACTCCTGGTCCTCTTGAGCTTCATGCCTTCTCTAATTCAGATTGGGGTAGGAGTGTACGGGATCGTCGATCTACCACTGGCTACTGTGTCTTTTTAGGTCCTAATCTTATATCTTGGTCTGCCAAGAAGCAACCTACAGTCTATCGTTCTAATAGAAGCTGAGTATCGGGCTCTGGCCCAAGCTACGACTGAGTTGAGTTGGCTTCAAATGGTTCTTACTGACCTCTACATAGCTCATCCTTGTCCTATTTTTTCGTGTGATAACTTGTCTACTATTTCCTTGAGCTCCAATCCTGTGTTCCAAGTCTTTGTCAAGCATATTGCCTTCTCAGATCAGCTTGCTGATCTTTTTACAAAGGCTTTACTTGTTTCTCGGTTTCACTTTCTTCATGACAATCTCATGGTGCTTTCTTCCCTTATGAGCTTGCAGGGGGCTGATGAGAGTATAGACCAAAACCAAACCCAGCAGCTCAAGAAGACCAAGCCTACAGCTGCAACTTATACAGCTTTCAGAGATGCTTTTCCTCAGACTTCACCATCCACATCTATGTGTGAGAAGCTACAAGCTGAGTCTAGTGCAATCATTCCATACCCATCATAATATATGTCTGATATGTTTGTAACAGTTCTATGCAGTTAGTTTTGTAACAGAATTAGTTAGAGTTGATTAGGGTTAGTATTAACTCATATGGTTAGGTTAGATTAGAATTGGTTAGGTTATTGTATATATACTACACATTGATCTGTAAAATAATAAGTTGAATGAGTTTCCAAATCTTCTTCACTTTCTATAAAATTTATATTTAATCTTCATTATTATAGTTATAATTTATTATGTTTCGTTATAATACCTTATATGAATTTGCTTGGAGTTTCCGGGAAAATATAATTCCACCCACTCTTTTCATCTGTCAATTTCGGTGGAATTCCAAGGACAGAAGCTTCATTGTTTTCTATAGAACTTTGAAACCCTATTGCGAGGAACCAAAGGAACCATGGAGATGTATCTGGGTTGTAACACCTAATGGTTTTTATCTCGGAAATGGTAACCCTAATACACCTTACTATAAAATAGATGACTGGTGATTGAATTTTTAAAAAATGCTATGTATTTAGAAAAATATTAACTGTTTTAAAAAATAGAATAAATTATTAATAAGTCCTATTTTTGGGACTTATTACTTATTAAGTCCTATTGATAAATTTATTTGTCTCTCTTGTTTTTATGTATAAATTTATCAGTTAAATAAGTCTAATTATTAGGATTGATTGGGTAGTGTCTCATTGTTTTTACGTTAATGTAACTTTGATCATCTCCATTTCATATATATATATATATAATGGAGGATTTCCATTGCACAACTAATAGTTTTGAAACGGGAATACAAATTTATAATTAATTTAAATTAAAAACAATTATTACACTTACATAGAATGGAGAGGATCACAATCTAGATTTTAAATGTTATTAATTTTGTTCACTCAAACTTCTAAAAGATGATTTATCTAGTCCTTAAAATGAAAGAGCAATACTACACTTCCAGTTATAAAAACTCAAAATATATCCAGAATTTCACATCAATAGTATAAATTTATTTTAGGTATAAGCTCACAATATCAACTTTAAATGTGATGACCGGCCTTCTTTTTCTCTTTGTCGTTTCTTTCTTTCGCTTCGTTCTCTTTTTATTCTTGTCGAATTGAAATGTCTGGAGATTGTTTCTTATCCACTTTTCCTTGGTGGTGAATTTTCGGTCATTCCGGAGGGTGCACGGGTGAGTCTGGGGTGCCAGGGACGAAGTGGAATTTGTGAGCTACTGGGCCAAGGCCGCACGTGCGCAAGTGGGCCGCTCGAGCGGTGGAAGAGGCCGCACGAGCGGCCAAGCTTGACACCCAGAAATGTTGCTACTGTCTAGAGCGCACGAATAGAGAAAATGGGCCGCACGAGCGGTCAAGGTGGGCCGTTCGAGCAGTGGGAAAGGCCGCACGAGCGGCAGTCAGTGTAACACCCTCAAAAAATAAACCCATTAATTATATTTATCATCAGCATGCAATGATAGAGAGGAAACATTTCATTATAATATTCATCAGAGTCTTACTAAATAAAAGCATTACATGTAACCTCAAATTAAATGCCCTACAGGCTTACATCTTTCCAAGCCAACACTTGGACAACAATAATATGAGTTCTAACTCAAATCCAAATAAAGCCCTAGGCTTGAGTGTTTACATGTACTAACAAATAAAAACAAACAACTGAAAATAATCTTCAAAATCCAAGTCCCATCCAAGCTAAGTCCCTGGAGGTAGCTTATCACCTGAACCTGAAAATGATGTTCCCATATAGGGTGAGCCACAGCCCAGTAGAAATATACTAAACCAAATATAAGCATTGATTAAAGCAATAGCATTCAATAGATGGTTAACCAAGATAATCAATTACATCATTATACAGTTTCATGACATTAATGTCTAAGACACGTTTTACTTTCCAACATTATCAATATGACTCAGAACCTGGCCAAACTTACAACAGTGAACTATATATATCAAATTCACATTCTTCCAATGTCAACAAACAAATGAGACTCAAGCTCAAATCAAAACACTTCATACTTCCAGTTTGATACACATTTTAGTGCTGTATCAATAAAAACACTTCAATATAAATAAGCACACATAAAAGTGATGCTAATGGAGTCCATCCCCTATCTCCTCCCAAACAAAATCCGGTTTAGAGGTCCATCCCCTATCTTCCCATAAACCGTGGAGTACATCCCCTATCTACTCCCACACAAAACAATGTATGCAAACACATAACTCAATCAATACACGTATTTTCTGTATCAATGCCATAGTCAAAATTAATGGGGGCAACTTTCCGTCGCCATTCACCCCTTTCAAGCCAGGGGCAATTTTCCATTGCCTCCGATCCGAGGTTGCGCATCTCAAAGAGTAAGTTCCATGCTCGTTGAGCATCGA